GGGTTTTTTCATGTATTTTCATTCATGAGATTTTATATGAAACAGCGCCATTCTGATAATGCAGTAACCTCCTTGGGCCAGAGCCCAATCCATTTAAACAGGAAGGTAATATTTATTAAACTGCATTTTTTAAGATAGTAAAATTTGCTTTGTTTTCTGTGAGTGCTGTCGCTGTGATATGGCCAGTGTTAATAGGTGGTTGCTATGGTGTCTCAGGTGGTGGCTTAGGGGGTTGCTAGGCAGTTGATGTGCTATCCCAGGTTGGTGTTAGGGGGTTGTTGTGATATACCACATGTTTAATAGGGTGTTGCTAATGGATGGGTACACAAACATTTGCCCCATTCATTCCCAAGGGAAAAAAAGTCACTTCATGTTAATTGTACGAAAATTGTATGTCCAGTTGAAAAAGCTGTATACAAGTACATCATTCCCGATCAGACCAAACATTCCGGAGTTGTAATGGTGTTGATATCTTGAATACTGTGGGATGAGTTAACGGACAAAAATCTGGCAGAAAAATAAGAAGACGACAAAGAAAAAAAATAGTATAAATCAGATTATGATTGTAAAATGCAGCCCCCATAACTCATTGTTTATTTGGAGCAAAATATATAGTGGAGACACTGTAGTGTGTTACCTACTCATAACATACTACAACATGATAAAGTTCACTTTTAACTAGCATATAATATAATTCAGAAATCAGCAGGTTTTTGGCTGTGTTATGCCTTATTAACTGTATGAGTATCTTTATTAGCCTGAGTTTGGTGGGGACATTTACAAAGTATTTTTTTAAAAAAAAATTTTCAGTAATCTGTGAGGACAGAGACGGAAGAGAGCAATAGAGACTGACACAGTAACTGAGAGATGGAGAAAGGTAAATGAAATAAAATTAATGTAACTATAAACTGACTTAATACATACATACACACACACACACATATATATAGGTTTCAGCATGTGTTTTCAGTCGAAAATAAGTGGGTACGTAAATAGTTAGATGATTAAATAAACACGGTAACTAGAGTTTGTGGAACCAGTAATAGTAGTTTATGGAAGACTGGAAGGATGGGAAAGGAATAAATGAAAGGAAAAGGCAGATAACAATCATGGACGAGTCAAAAAGGAACGATGATTTAGTTAGGAGCTAAAGGAGAAACTTGCAGTTGGTGTAATACACACATCAGTTAGTTTAGTCACTGTGTGATATAGGTCACTTTTCTGCAAAGTAGACCTCACTAAATTTTTGGTGCTGGTTATGAAACTGATGGAGTTTTGCTTTTGTAAGACCACAAGGGGACACTATTTAACTTCACAGTCAAAGAAACTGTGAACTGAAAAATCCTTTGCAGTCTAGTTTCGCTTGATATCCTTATGCTGTATGATCATGACTGGTTGTGATCATCTGTGGCTCTGATGATGTTCTTTTTAATCTTTGCAAACATAAGGGATATGATTTACATGTATTCTCATATTGTCACTGTTATTATGTTACAAGATTTTATTACAAGTAATGTTGGACTGTTGCTGTTTTACACAATGAAATGTCCATGCAATGTAAGGGGCAGCTAGTATTTTCAAATGATGGAAAGAAAAAGATAAAACCTTGATTTGTAGTTACTGTATAAATCTTAAATATGGAATCACAGTAAGTGTACTTTACTCCTAAAATGTTAAGTGCTTAAGTGGTGGTTAGGCAAAAAGGGAAATAAATAAATAAAGCTTAACAGTGGTAAAACTAATTCATGAGACCTGCATGCACCTGCAGTACCATTGAGCAGGTACTGCAGTCTTTATCACACAGTATGAAGGTGCTGTAGCACTGACTGAAGCATTCCAGATGAGAGCTGAGCATGTAGGCAGTGAATTTGTACTGCAGTCACTCCTCTGCTATAGTTGGTATGGCCCTCACATCCCGCGTCTGTCACCAGAGCATTATCGCGCTCTGCCAGGCGTGTAGCTGTGAGCGGCCGGCCGGGGTGAGGAGAGGAGAGGAGCAGCTTCTGCATTTTGGGGGCTGCTGAGACACACCATATCAAAAAGCCCCTGGAGCTCACAGAGGAAAGCACAGGCCTCATCAGGGAGAGGAAGATTTTGTCAGCCACGGCCTGGTGGTGTACACTTTTTCCCCATGGCGACATCGCTTATTCAAAGCAGAAGATTCAAACCGAGAACAAAATTGCAGCAGATGAAGAACCTTCTTAATTCACCAGGAAACTGTGCACTGTAAGAGCCATCACTGCTGTTTGTCTACAAACAAGAATGACATTTTTCATGCCTGGGATCTTGGATGGGGAAAATAGCTTTAAAATAGTTCATTGCTCTTGGATAGTTAAAATGACCTCTTTTGACAATGACAGATGGGCATATTCACAGGGTGGAGTCAGGTTTGTGTATTCAGAGCACCCATTTCAGATGAAAGGCCATGTCTTCAAGGCTTATTCTAATAGAACTCAGTGAAGTGGAAGAGACCTTACATACTACATCCCCCTTCAGGTACAGAGTTTTTATGCAAAATCCAACGGTCAGTAGGAGGAACATGTTTAAAGGTGTTTTTGCTTTGTTTGCACTATGGCTATGTGCTAACAGTGGACTTTTTTGGGACCCTTTGGGCATTTGCTTTCAAGTTATATTGTAGAATAAATAGAATAAGATTGAATAAATGTGGTCCAAGATGTTAGTCTGAAATTTGCTTCTTTAGTTTTGCACTGGAGCTGTGGAGCTAATGTAGCTAAGAAAAACAGACCCTTACATCCCACCTGCAAACTACTTGCATTAATCTTCACACACTCTCATGTCAAGTTGTTAAGTAAACGCAAATAAACTTCATGTGGTATGACGAATGGATAAAAAGATACAAAATTCATACTTAAGGAGGGCTGATGATAAAGTTTTTAGCTAATCAACATTTTGTCTATTTTGAAGTTATTACTTATCCACTTGATGCGATTTTGAGGCAAGTGTGTGATGTGATTTCTAAAGAAGCAAGCATCTGGCACCAAAAATGTCTTGGCTGATCCACAACATTTGGGGTAAAAGAGTTAGAGTCTACAGTTTTTCTTGTTTGATGCTGCTTTTGAAACCTTGAGTATCTGCCGAGACTAATACAGATCTGAAATTATTTCTTTAAAAACTAAAAAGGAAAAAGTTATAAAAGGCCCATATGATGGAGAACATGCTTTCTCTCACTTTTTTTGAATAAAGAAGTTTCAATTAATATATAAACATTGTTAAAGTTTCAAAATGTGCCATTCACTAACCAGGCCATGTATGGAAACTGTGCTGCAGAAACAACCTGTTTTGACTGAACTCTTTGACCCACTCATTTACATATATCCACCTATCAGCCTACATGAGTTTAGCCAATGAAGTTCTAAGGAGTGTTTCAGCTCTGAGTGCTTTTTGAATGAGGCACAATACAGGGCAGGCAATCAGAACAGAGCTATTCTGTCTATATCAGAAACAAATACAGCCTGTCGAATTCTAAGGGATAAAGAGAGGTAGGGCCTTCCGAACTGAATCCATTACAATAAATAAATAAACAAACAATGTATATGAGAAGTGAGATTAAACAGTAGCTCACCATAACTTTTCATTACTTCTCTTTTTTCCTTTAAGCCAAAGTGAGTCGTAATGCAGAACAAGAAGTTCTCCTACACATATAAAAAGGGGAAAAACAACAAGAATAAAAACAGCAATAGCAACAAAATCAATGATAAAATAAAACTTCCTCGAGAACACATTTTTTTTTTACTTTTTCATTTATTTAGACATTTGAACATGTTCAATGGTTATTCGTTCATCTAATGCTTATATCAGCATTGGATTGCCCCAAGTATTTAAGCCAACTCTGGCCTCGTGGTCTTATTCTGTGGTCAGTAATCCTTCCCTGATCTCAAGGAAAAAATTAGCCTCAATTGAAGCACTTCACTCAAGATAAATATCTAAAAGTAGTCTATCGTGCTCAAACTAATCAAACACTTTACTACCCCACAGAAGGAAATACACAGCTAACATCACATCACACAGTCTGAGTGTGTGCTATTTCAGGCTAGATTTGCTACAGCGTTGGATTGGATTCATTCTTCTTTTCCTCTCAAATATCTGGCCAAATACCGATACCTATCGAATATTAATGTCATCTGTAGTAAAAGGAAAATGATGTACATTTTGATTTTTTTGCTGGACTATCACTTCAAAATCTTGGCTTTACAAGAAAGACTTTATTCTTTATAGTTGCGTTGCCAGTAGATGGGGCTGCTGCTCTGGTGTGCTTCTCTCACTGTGAGTGGAGACTGAAGGCATATCAAGAAGTGCGTAACCCATCACACAAGCTCACATGTGATCTGCAGCCAGTCAGGAATTATCGGCTGACCAGCTGTCCTGTGGCCACAAATGTTCAATTAGGGGCAAAGTAGACATAACGCTGGAGACTGTGGGCTGCTCTTCTACTAACATGATAACTGATGTTGATGGGGAGTTGTATGTTACTGTAATACTATCAAGCAGCCTCTAGAAAATAGAAGTTAACCCACAGTAAACATGTGAAGACATGATAAGATTTAAATGGTCAGCATTCTTATTAAGAATTTGATGGCTTGGATGTCACTCTATGTGCACTTGAACATTACATGGTTTATGTGTTTGTGATGGTGCATAGATTGCAGTGTTATTATTTCAGTTTGTCCCAGCTGGAGTTTAAATTCATGATAGCAGAGTGAGATCCGGGATGAACATCAGATAACAGCTTACTATCACATTTAACTGTGATAATGGCTGGTATGCATTTGGGCCCATGATAAAGCAGTGACCACTCATCACAGACTTAGAGTTTTAACCCTACAAGCAAAAGAAAACAAATGTCATGCATTCTAAGTGCCTTCTTCTCCATATTTTTCTTTTCTGTGGGGCTTTATGGGAGACCTACAAAGCTGTTAATCCAGGCTGCAGATATAAAGTGTAGCAGAGGGAGGGCCGTGCGCGGTGCTGCTCAACGCTTACCGGGGGGAGGGGTGGGTTTAGCTTGGAGGGAATGCAAAGGGCTTGATGCACAAGAAGAGCAAGGGGGTGTTGGGGTGAAGCGCGCAGAGAGCGCGTACATGCTATTGTTCGTGTCCTGTGTAAGGAACAAAGGGGTCTTGCTTGCATTGGCTCTTTGCTTTTCTGCTTATGGTCTGCCAAGAAGGCCTTCCCTTTTTTTGCTCCTGTAAATCGGTAGAGGACTGGATAAAGTAATTCCCTGCGCCATGGGCTTTTAAGATGGTTGTTGCTATGTTCCAGTTCTCCGGGCTCAAGGGTCTGTGAGTGATCGGGCTTGGAGAGCCGCAGGAGCGCAGAGCCTTCTTCCTGGACAGGTACGTTAGCGTTACGGCTTGGCTAACTGCCTGAAGCTAGCGGACCGTGTTCGCTGTGTTTCGAGACGGTCTCGTCTTAAGAATACCCAAATGCAAGTTACATAAGATAAAATGGCAATAGAGAGCCACCCTAACGGGCTCTGTCTTGTTTTACTTTTATGAAACCGTGCGAACCTAATCCTGGGGAAGGCCTGAAGTAGGCCGGCTGAGAGAGCAGGCTAGCTAGGTTAGCTAAGTTAGGCTATCGAGGTTTAAAAGCTCAACAGCAGAATTTTGCAAGGCCTGTTTTCAACGCCCCTCATTGTTTAGCAGGGTTTTAGCATATACGTTAGCAAGGAAAATATTTGCAGTTACTTAAATAATTATGGAAACAAGTAAACGGTTCTTGCTTTATTGAGCTAACGGGATGCTGCTTGCTGAAGTGAGAAGAGAGTGGCTTGTTTATCCAGGGATTTAAATCAGATCACCACCATCAGCTTTTCTCTCCTGCTCAGATTGAATTGTTTCTGTGTTACCAAAAAACAAATGTGACGTCTCATGGTGCATGGATCCAAGCGATAGTTTTTCCCTCTTGGTGGTCCTTGTAAAGCATAGTAAGTTCTCACTATAACAGCTAAGGATACGTTTGCATGTCCCTTCCATTTTGTTAGTGCAGGTGGTCCAGACCAGTGTTGAACTGTTACCGTCCATGAGTTCTACAGTACAGACAAAAGAACGTACTCTTTTAAAGTCAATGTTGTGGTAGTGTGTTACGGTGTTGTAGGTTGTCTCCCACTTTGTAATTGATGGCCTGTATTGACCACTCATCCTCTTGGTGTCTATTTTTCCAATAATAGAGTTGTAATAGAGCCAACACATTTCTGAAGTGTTATTTATTTGAAGTCAAGAACATGAGGATAGACTGTGTTTGAAATTGCCCTGGTTGCCACTGTTCCAGTCTTCTGATTCAGTCAGGATGTCTGGACAAGTCGCAGTTTGGTACGTTTTGTCTTGTATGTTGTGTTGTGCAACATGATGACATGGTGTCACTTAGGCTGCAGGAGAACATGAAATACGGTTCCTGAAGAAAAGTGAAACCCTGTTTTTGTGAATGAGTATGTTTATTTTTTTAAAGGACACATATCCTAGATTTTTCTTCTCTCTCTCTCTCTCCCTCTCTCTCTCTCTCTCTCTCTCTCTATCTATCTGTCTATCTATCTATCTATATATATATATATATATATATAGATAGATATATATCTACCCATTTTTGTTTTATTTATTTATTTAAACATGGCCATTTTCCTGTCTCTATCTTGTAGGCTGTTCTGTTACTGTACTTTTAAGAGTGATCTATGTAAGTAATCTCTGTTCTGATTGGCTGCCCTATTTTGCCTTTATTGAAAAAGCATTCCAAGTAGAAACGTCATTGTTGATGGGCACGTATATGCAAATGAATTGGTGTTAAGCTGTTATTGCAGCTTAGTTTCCATATGGATCACATGGACTGGGGAGTGAATGTAAATTCTGAAACACTAACATTCTTCATAGAGTGCATTTTAAAAAAAAATGACAGTAGTTTTTTCCATGATGTGGACTCTTTAATTTTTTACAGTCTTCACTGTATGTTAGCTGAAACCTGTTTCGTTATGGTTAGCCTTACTCTCAGTGCCTTTGGGGGTGTTTGGTGTGGTTAGTAGTGTAACAACAAAGCAAGCAATTGATTAGGCTGTGTAGTTGAATAGCTATGATTCCTAAAGGTCTTTTAACGACCAGTGTAGTGAAATGAGAGAGGGATTATGTGGTTGATGTTTGCATGCAGTCAGGGAGGGCTGTTGGGGGATGGGTAAAGGGTACATCTGCCTCCTAACACACCATTACCTGTTCACGGTTTAGTTGGGTGGAAGGTGCAAAACAAGGTGCTGTATTTATTATCAGTCCATTTAAGCATGTTGCACTTACCTATCTCCTATCACACAGGAGTGGACGGCATACTGAGTGTACCAGTGAAGTGCGAGTAATGTGGATGGTTACAGGGCTGTGTAATGGCATTCACAGATGGGCATTGACTGGTTTTGTGAATTAAACTAAAATAACCAGATTATAGAGCATGGCTCAGCTGTTGTTGCAGGGGACTGCATAGTTTTGGTTTTTATGATGAATTTGGTCCAGTTTGTTTAAGGTCAACATTTAAAGAAGGTTAAACAAGTAAAGGCAGATTACATGTGTTTGAACACGCCTTTTAGGAGAGAGAGATTTTGCTCTCTCAATTCTGCTGCCGTGTCTGACTAAAAGAGCGTAGACTCAGGTGATATATTTAGGTGTTCAATTTTTCTTTCTATGCTTCTGCGCTTTTACTGTTAGGTTGATGTTCTTAATGTATCACTCTGGTTTGTGAAAAAATGGTTTGCAAGCCATAGCTTGACAAGCAAGAGTTAATAGTAATGGAATAAGTGGGGGATGGGCTGTATGTAGAGTAAGCAAGAGAGAGACCCAGGGTGGTCACATGATGATGTCTGAATGCAGGAAAGGGGGCATTTCATTTTGCAGGTCTCACATGTGAATTCTGCATTTCTACACCCTTATAGAACCTGTTTTGAGACCAAAACAACTGAAAGGTCTAACTATATATTACAGGACTAAGTCACACGATAAAGAATAAGGCCAGTCAATGAGGGCTGCATAAAATTCCAAGAAAAATGAAATGCATTTATTAATGTAGGTCAGGCAGTAAGAACTGCCTGTGTAATTGGGGGGAAAGGATAAATTAACAAATAAACAAGCATTCATTTGTAAAGTTTGACTAGAAAAAAGAGAAAATTAAGGTTTGCTTATCCATTAATCACAAATGGCAGCAACATCTAGATTTGCTCATTTACCACTCTGTGTGAAGGTTATTTGTGTGTATTCATCACTTACTCAAATTGGATTTTCTCTTGTTTTGCAGGCTGTTCGTCCAAGTCGTTCAAGCTGTACTCCCCAAAGGAGCCTCCCAACGGTAGTGCCTTCCCCCCTTTTCACCCTGGCACAATGCTGGACAGAGATGTGGGGTAAAGCAAGCTTTTGTGACCAAATTCATGTAGTACACAACATAGTTCTTCTTCAGTCTTTTAATTATCCTTTGGCTGTTTTATCTTACAGGAGTCATATGAATTAAAATAGCCTTTGTAGGTATTTTCCTAATCACTGTCTATCATGTTGCTTAAATTGCAGACCGACACCAATGTATCCCCCCTCATACATGGAACCTGGAATAGGGTGAGTTTGATGTACAGTCATGCAGCTGCTATTTGTGAAATCTGTGATGAATTTGAATATAATTTCTCTCCTTTATATTGATTATCTTTGTCTTGTCACAGGAGGCACACACCGTATGGAAATCAAACAGACTACAGGATATTTGAACTCAATAAACGACTACAGAACTGGACAGAGGTAAGAGACTGTTCTTACAGTAAAAGTTTTGCTGGTAATATGACTGAAGTAGTTGCTGTCAATAGTGAATATATTGTTTTTAAAACATGACTAAATTAGTGTTTTTTTTTTGTTTTCCCCTTTCATCCCCCAGCAGGACTGTGACAATCTGTGGTGGGATGCATTCACTACAGAGTTTTTTGAAGATGATGCAATGTTGACCATCACATTTTGTTTGGAAGACGGGCCCAAACGATACAGTAAGATATCAGAAGTCAGATGTCTTTATACTTTAGATTACTTCTAGTACCCTGTGCTATATATTGATTATAGACTGTGTGTACTACTCTGTCTTGTCTCAGTTGTCCGGAGCAATATTTTGAGTCACATCTGTAAATTAAACTTTGTTGTGTTTGTAGCCATTGGTCGGACGTTGATCCCTCGCTACTTTAGGAGTATATTTGAGGGTGGAGCCACTGAGCTCTTCTATGTACTGAAGCATCCCAAGGAGTCCTTTCACAGCAACTTCGTCTCTCTCGACTGCGATCAGTGCACCATGGTCACGCAGAACGGCAAGCCCATGTTCACACAGGTACTTTTCCTCCTTTGGATGAGTGGTCGTTCTGTTGACGATCTGCTGAGATTTATAACCCTGAATACTGTTAAACACGAAGTCTAAGGAGTAGAGGAGGCCTTAAGGAGAATGAGAGCGAGGTGTGTTGGATCTGATTTCTCGAGGGTGGTAGATCTCCAGGACCAGGATTGAGCAATCCTGGGCTAGAGGATAGCACAACTGTTAAAATCAAACACAATGAAAAGACTGTACATGGTAAAGAGAGAGCAGTTTGTTGGGCTAGATAGGGAAATTGAGAAGACTGTCATGACATGTCACGCATATACTGTGCCTTAAATTATATGTAAATATGATTTTGTCTACTTGAATCGCATGTAAAATGTAAATACGAATACATGGCATATTTGAGTTTGTGTCCATGGTTGTATGGTTCTGTAGGAAGTATTTATGGTATTATTTTTCTGAAGTGTTAAAGTGATTAAAGTTTCAATGAAGTTAGTCCTGATTCCTTACATGCTACCAAGATGGATCCTTTATTATTACAACAAAATGTTATAACAAATGAGTATTAAGCCATTAAAGGGGAATTCCACTTTTTCACCAAAAATTGCAGTCTTATTCCTCTTTTGAGATACAAACGGTCATTCAGGGCATTTTTAATGTAAAATTGTTCATTGTTGAGAAACTTACCAACTTGTGAAGTCTACAACACAAATATAACCTTTTAATTTATCAGAAACGACCAGTGAACCTACACGTCTTCTGAGCTTTTGTAATGCTGATAACAGTAAAATGGTGGTAAATCTGAAAAAAGGAGCTGTTTTGCCTTAGATTGTCCTGCATGTATGCCTGAACCATAAAGTGTTTCAGACATTGTAAGCCTGGGCAAAATGACCATTTATTGTTATTGTGATTAAATTATGTCTCAATATATCACAGTATGCTTTTCTGAGCGTATTGTTTAAATCGTCAGTACCTGAAAACATTTCCAGGCTGCATATTTGATTACAATGAGAGCATTATTACTCTTGTAATTGGATTTACTGGAGTGCAGGATATGAAATGTTGAATGTAAATCATTGTATTCATAGTTTTTGTAGTATAAACATGGCACTTTTTTTCCAACATGTATCGTGGCACATTGTGAATTGTGAAAACATGTCATAATACATTTTTGCTATACCACCCATCTCTAAGACAATGTATCTGTAACCAGTTCATGTATTAGCTTTTTGTGAGATACGTTCTAGAGGCATTCAACCCTTCAGATGTCAGATGTTTCCTATCACCGCCACTGTGAAAAATACTGACTTTGTAAGTTTCTCAAGAATGGAGCGTTTAACATCAAACCACTCTGACTTACTTTGTTTACAACGTAACCATTTATTGAAAAAATGGGATTCCCATTTAAGCAGTTGATGAATTGAGTTTTAATTTGCCTTTGTGTTGCCCATTCATTTCTTTTCAATGAGTGTGGAATTTGACGAGACATACTATCCTTGTTGTGATCTTCCAATGGTGTTATGATAATGCTATTGATGAATTTCTGCATACGTACATAAATTTTCTGCTTTGCTGAAGCAACTCTCACTTTGTCAAATTTTTGATTGCTTTACTGGTAGAGTTGTTTGATTTTTAAACACTTTCATTTGTACAGGTTTGTGTAGAAGGAAGGCTGTATCTGGAGTTCATGTTTGACGACATGATGCGCATAAAGACGTGGCACTTCAGCATCAGACAGCACCGTGAAGTCGTACCACGCAGCATATTGGCCATGCATGTGAGTGGGCTGCCAGTATTTTTATTACCATTTAAATGAGGAAGAGGGTTATTTATCTTGGGCCAAAGACTGTCCAAAACTTTACCTCTCTTTGCCTAGGCAAATGTCATTACCTGGATAGTTTTGATGTGGTGGTGTGTTGTGTATTAGTAGTGTTTTTACATATTGCCCTGTAATTTCTTTTTCTGCTTTAGACTAGTCTACATCACACATACAGAAAGCCTCATAGGGTAATGGATTGCATGTTGGCTGTCCCACTGATTTGCATTTTTTCCACATCAGGTTATCTCATGCAAGCTAGAGCTTGTCTCTGATCGTATCAGTTAAGATATATCCCCATGCATGTGCTAAGTAAAATAAACTTTAAAAAAAATTGTGTGCTCTTAACAGGCCCAGGACCCTCAGATGCTTGATCAGCTTTCAAAAAACATCACAAGATGTGGGTTATCCAATTCAACGTTAAACTACCTCCGAGTAAGTATGTCACCTGAGCACCCCTGAAGTGTTTGACTGCTTATTTAGTCTAAAATGTACATTTCACATCTAAAATTAACCAGTGTGAAGAACAGACAAGTCAAGTTTATGTATTTCTTTTTTTTTTTTTATAAAGCACATTTAAAACAGATGTTGACAGAAGTGATGCACAGTATCATAAAAGACAATTACTGAACAGCAAGTGTAAAGAATAAGATAATAATGTGGCAAAATATTGCAGTAGTGGTAAAGTAATGAAAGTAGAACAAAATGGCTCCACACAGAAAATACAACCATAAACTCAGACAGAGCCGTGCACCTAAGAGAACAAATGCCTTTTTAACCGAAATTTAAAATGTTGGTATTAGACAACCAGTTGGGTAGTGATAAGGCTTGGCGGTATGGATTTGACCGAAAGATAAATGCCTTCCGTTTACTATGTGTAAGCTAGAATCTTTTTGTATTTCTTGTCTTTGTGTATGCTTTGGTGTCTCTTTAGTTTGACCTTTTAAACAGTAAGCATTCATAAACATGTCCTGTCTGATGAGGCTTGATTTAGGATGGCTGATGTGTTCTCTTCTTAGCTTTGCGTAATCCTGGAGCCCATGCAGGAGCTGATGTCCAGACACAAGACATATAGCCTCAGTCCCCGAGACTGCTTAAAGACCTGTTTATTTCAGAAATGGCAAAGGATGGTTGCCCCACCAGGTAAAGGCCCCTCTGCCTTCTCCTGTATCTTTCTTTGTGGCTTTAAAGTTTAGGTATTTTTGACTGATGTTTGTTGTTGTCCCTGTAGCTGAGCCAGCAAGACAAGCACCTAACAAGAGGCGGAAAAGAAAGATGTCAGGTGGCAGCACCGTGAGTGCTGGTGGTGGCAACAACAACAACAGCAACAGCAACAGCAAAAAGAAGAGTCCAGCCAGCAGCTTTGCGCTCTCCAGCCAGGTACCTGTAAGCATCTCATTTTGATTTCCCTTATGCAAACCTATAGGTAATGGGCAGCACATGCATGGGTGGTGGGACTGAGAGCTTTGCATGAAGAAAAGAGAGAATGGAAGAGTTCAAAGAAAGACAGACCCGACATAGACAAGTGGACATGATCCAATGCTGGGCAGTCCCTGGTCCTTCAGGGCCGCAGGTCTGTGGGTTTTCTGTGCCTTTTGTCAGTCGGTCAGAGCCTGTTTTGTGTAGGGTGATTTTTGAGCTCCAGAAACAGCCAATGACAGAGACCCGAGGTGGAATTGAACCCATGCAGCACTAAAGGATCAGGGATGCCCACCGCTGATCTTTTCTCAAAGATAGGTTTACCCAGCCTGAGAGGTTGAAGGCCACAGCAGAATATGGTTCCCAAAGACTAAACCTGGCGTTGGATTGCAAGTAGTAGCCATACCTGGGGCTTTAAAGCTCTCTGTGGCTGGTGAACTGCGCTGGCTTCTTGATTACAGTGAGCACACATGGCTTTAGGTCTTGGTACCCTCTGAAGTTGCTGTGGGGATGGATGGTGCAGTTCCCTCCACTCCTCGAACACCCCCCGTTTTGTGGGGATAATGTTTGCGCCCCTTCCTGTCCCCTGCAGGATGTGATGGTGGTGGGTGAGCCCACTCTGATGGGAGGGGAGTTCGGGTACGAGGATGAGCGACTGATCACACGGCTTGAGAACACGCAGTTTGATGCAGCCAATGGCATCGATGACGAGGACAGTTTCACCAACTCTCCAGCCCTGGGCAACAACAGCCCCTGGAACAACAAAGCTCCCTCCAGCCAGGAGAGCAAGAGCGACAACCCCACCTCACAGTCAGCCCAGTAGACTACAGCACTCACTATGGAGAGCTAGGGAAAAGCATGAAGACGATAGAGGGAGTTTGAAATACCCGTCTTTTGCTCAGAATGGCACTCGCGTTATAGTTCTTTAAGTCGGCCTCCCTGTCGTAGTGTTCTGCTCGGAGGAATCCTAACTGGCCAGACTCTATTCTCCAGCGTGTGAAATTGTGCTATTTGCAAATTGCTGTAGGATTTATGTTTAATATTTGAAATATTGTTTTATTACACTGAAATGATCTCACTGTGCATTTGTGCTGGAGAGAAACTAGTTTTCCCACTCTGGTGGAAAAAAAAAAAATCAGTGTCTGGTCTGTTTTGGGTTCTCTGAGCAGAGTTAGTGAAGGCAGCCATGTCTGTGGGTTCTTGTTCCAACCTCGGGTCTCTGTGTGTGCTGTGCTTGACAATGCATGGCGGTTTCTGTTGTGCTCACTTCAAAGGGAAGGGTTCTTTTCCATTTATCTGGTGATAACCATTGTGTGCACCTCAGATTTAAAACCAGCTCCTTCTTATTTGATTTCATTTTATTTTAAACAAAAAAGAAAAACCTGAATTATTTGTTTTGTAGGACCTGGTTGGAACAAAAACCTGTACAGTTCCGGAGCTTGAGGACCGGAGTTGAGAACCACTACGTAAAGTCTAAAATGTAAATGAAAAAGTGTAAACCTTGATGGTACGGGAGTACTGGTCATGCTCAGTATGGTCATATGCAGAAGTTGCCTGCCATGAAGCCAGGCTCAAAAGAGGTGTATTATTGTTTTTTGTTTGTTTGTTTCCTTTGTTTTTTGTTTTTTAAATATTGTTTTTGTTTTTTATTTTTATATCAATTTGTAAGGGGAAAATTATAAGCAAGTTAAAACACCCTGAATATCCTTTGCACTGTTGTCACTGTATTCTCAATCTATTTTTCTTACAAAAGTATAGTACATTTTGTTCTTTTTATCCTTCCCTGTTAAAACGTTGAATTTGATTAAATCTGTAACTGGAGAATGGTAGAGATTTATATATATATAATGCTTTTTATTATTATTATTATTATTATTATTATTATTATGCTTTCCATGTTTGAGACGCAAGTTGACTTCCTGTTAAATGTATACTAAAATTAGTTTTATCATAGCATGTGTGTCTGGAAACTGCATGTTTCAGACATTAGCTATTTCCACTGTAAGTCTCAATCTGTCCGAGATGTTACTCGTTAGAGTAATCATAGCGGGAGGTACATTACTCCATATGTCTGTGCCCATACTTTAATCTAGGAGCTTTGAGTTGCGAATGGTTATGTTTTTAGTCTTTTCAAGGACGTTGTCAACTCAAAACCTCTAGAAAACTTCATGACGCTGACCAAATGTTCTCAAATGCAAAGCATAATGCCTCTTTCTCATTAGTAAATACTCACCTTATGTAATTACTTTAGTCTCCCAAGATTTTTTTCTTTTAATTTTCAAATGCTACAGACCAAGAAGCTATGAGCAAGATACTTTATCTCAGCCCTTGTGTATTTGTTTCTATGAAGAATTCTTTTCATATTTTTGTTTGTGTATTTGTGCTGTATATTTAAGACTGTAGCTAAGTTCTGTATAAGTGTAATTGTATTTACTCTTCTTTAGAGCATCCCTACGGACTTGCAGTTTAATGAAGAAAACTAACCATGCATTGTAGATTTTAAGATGCATCAACCATAGACACCGTTCACTTCAGGTGGTAGATTATAGTTTTATTTCAATGTACAATGTATTTATTATTATTTTTTTTATTTCGGTCTTGCCATCAAGTCTGGATACAATACATATGTACGATATGTCAATCTTTGGCCAAATTCTCAATAGAGAAATTTGATGCTGCCTTTGTCTTTTCTCTTTCTCATGTATGACCTCATCATTTCACTCTGATTTAAGGTGTGACGTGTAAAACAAAGATTTCATCAATGTTGTTGTTTGGACTTTGTCACACTGTATTTAAAACCAGTCCTGTAGATTTTTAAACTCCCCGTAACACAAGCCATACTAGGTTTAAACACCAGGTGGCGTTCTGCATTGGGGCCCCAGGTCTAATGGGGAAAGAAAAATAATAATAAATTCTTACTATTCCAGCCAAGTATTCTGCCCAATTGTGTGGCTATTTTATATAGAACTTAAAACATGTTGTTCAGCTACTTCTCTCAGACAGTCCAGTGTTGGTTTGGGATTATTCACCAAATCGAAAGGGGAAGCCCTTTGTGTTCTTGTAGAGCCCCTTTGATAGTGGCTGTTTGATAAGTATATTTTTTTCTAGTGTCTGCAATTGACGATTCATGTATGGTATTAATAAAATGAATTTTCACTTAAACTGAATTTCTTTCCATGTGAGTTTTTTCTTTATCATAAATCCTGGGCTTGTTTTGGCTTGTCATTTGAAAGTAACTGTGGGGGTTGCATATGCAGTTCCAGCTGCACTCCTGATTGGATAAGCGATAAAGTCGGAGAGTTTACAGGTACAAAGGTTAATGCTTTATGAGGAAGATGAGTGTAGTGCTGTTTACTGGCCAGAAAGCCAATGTGCATTTGTACCGCTTGTACAATTAGCATTTGATGGTAAGGTGTTTTTTTTTAGAAAAATTAAGGTTCACTTTGCTTAAAGAGTTTGCTCTTAGGCTGCAAGCACATTCTAGGAGATGCTCCTCTGCTTTATTTATACAGAACAGGGTTGTATGTAGTGTTGTTGCTTATTTCCGTTTGTGAATACGCCTTCGCAGTAGATTTTATTGCCATGAATACTATGGTTACCTTGATTACTGGGCCTTTTTTTAGTTTTTATATCCTGTTCATAAAATCAGCAATGTAAATCTATCTTAAACTCTTCTACTGTTCTACCGCTTTGTTATCATGGGGTTACACTTTGAATTTGTTATTCAAAGTTTAACCCCTTATAATGCTGAGTATATTCCATCCTAAAGCCTTACTGTTCAAGAACTATTTGAGAAATTACATATATTACACTCAGAACTGCTCAGATAAACATTGGAGCAACTTCCTGCATGTTTGAGCTGTGCCGTTACATGCTTGAGCTCCTTCATCACTTCATGAAGGAAGTCATTTCACAACAGCATTTAATATTCACTCCAAGGTCTCCCATTCTTCCTCTTTCCTCATCTTTAATAAGGAATGATTGATTCACTGAATTATATCCACTGAACAATCTTCTAAGACAGCATTACCTGTGTGGGATAACTTCACTGTTAGCCTTCTAGCCTTCTCTGTGTCCACTCCCTCCTTTTATTTCTAAAAGCTTGTCTGCACACTCACTCTTTAACACAGACCCTCCCCCTCCCTCCCTACTTCCCTCCCTCCACTGCTCTCTCTCTATCACTCTCATTGAAGTTCAACTCAGAGCAGAGCAGGGATCAGCTTTCTTTAGGACATACACTCTCTTTTACCTCCGAAAATCCAGCACAGATCCAGCCACACCTGCTCGATTCACTCAGCAGGAGCCTTTTTCAGGAGAGAAAAGGTATTGTCGCAACACTTTTCTGTTTACATGTTTGGATGACCATTAACTCTGCTCTTAACTCACTTTCTCACTCTCTTTCTGTTTGTCTCCTACTTTGCATTTTGTGTACACATAAACAGTGCTTGGTTTCATTCTGTGCCAGTGGATAGAGAACAACATTTGCTTAAAACTTCTCTATTTGATGGAACTGGCAAGTGATTTTGAAATGTTAATCTTGTGAATGTGGCAACATCAAATCTTGTAACGTCTAAAGATGTTAACATTTAGTTGAGCAATGGTTTTGCTTGGGAGAGATCATTTTAGATCTATGTACCATCTGGGGGCTATCACAACACAGCAATCACAGAGAATTGTCTATTGCGTGTGTGTGTGTTTGACCTCCCTAAACTCTTAAACTTAAAGGTCTCTTAATAGTTCTTGGCTTGGACATACAAAAAAGACGGTTCTTCAAGGGTAAAGAAAATGGTTCCTTTCCATGATTAAAGGGTTCCTTGCATTGTGAAAGAGTTCTTCAGATTGTTGGAGAATGTTCTGTAGAAGGTTCTATATAGAACCTTTTTTTTTAAGTGTTCTTCTATTGTTGCGATGTCAGGCTTGTTACAACAGAAGAACCCTTTTATGTACATTCTCCATCAATCTGAACAACCATTTCATGATGCAAAAAGCCCTTTAATCATGGGAAGCGTTCTTTGAATGTTCATGGTTCCTTTATAGAACATTTTCTTTAGTAAAGGAACCCTTGAAGAACCATCATTTTTGAGTGTGTATGATTAAAGTGTTCTTTGCGTCATGAAATGGTTCTTTTGACTGGTGGAGAATGTGCTGTAGATGGTTCTATATAGCACTCAAAAGCATTCTTCTGTTGTCACGATGTCAAGCAAGTAACAACAGAAGAACCCTTTTTGGTACTGTTTTCAAAATGTTTCTATTAAGAACCAACTACAGCACATTATCAATCTGAATAACCGTTTCATGATTCAAGGAACCCTCTAAACATACAAAGGGTTCTTTGAGTGTTCATGGTTCTGTATAGAACATTTTCTTAAACAAAAGAAGCCTCTGCTTTTTCTGCTAAAAGAAGCCCCGAAGAACCATCTTTAAGAGTGTATGGTTCTAAAAAAACTTGATAAAGAACAGTTACATTATATTGAGGTTTATCTCACTTATAAAAATTGTTCTTTAAAGAACCATCCATTAAAAGTTTCTTTAAAGAGCCTAAAGTGGTTCTACCATGGCATCACCCCAAAGAACTTTTTAATGGATGGTTCTTTAAAAGTGTGATCAAACATATCACACTTTCCAAAAAAAAACATACATGTATTTTTTTTTTTCATTTTTATTTTCCTACATCCTTTGAAGACGGCATTTGTCCTTTGTGTAGTGATGTCCTGATGAATGGACCAGTAGAAATGCTTCAGAATCACTTTGAATAAAACCTCTTTGCATAAACCTACACTAAAAATTAAGAGCATTTTTTGCCCTCTCCTGTAAAGCTGCTATTTTGGAGATGTGTTTTTCTTTGGACAGTGATGATATGCTGATGAACTTTTATACTGTACATCAACACTCAAAACCATTGTTCTTTTATTACACTCTCTTCATTTTCATTCACAGATGAGGTGTAAAAGAGACAGATAGGACCATGAGTTAAAAAAAAAAAAACATTGCTTATCTACTGTCTGCAAAAATGGGGGCCGGTGTGAGACGGCACAAGCTTGGGATACTTAGCTTGTTGCTGCTGTCACTGTGGCCATGTATGACCGCACAGCCCTCCTGCCCGGTAAGGGCAACTCCACCAGAACTGGAAATGCCTGGGAAGTGGTCTGTCCAGCCGAACTCTGCTGACGGGGGTTTTATGTCATCGATCGTCCATTCGTTCCTGAAGTCTGTCCAATCAAACCCCTTCCCTAAAGGTCAGCTCATTTTCTAACATCATTTTCTAGTTCTTCAGTCATACTCAGGTAATTGTGGTAAGTCAAATTAGATCTGTTCAATGTTTAAACCTTGCTCATGCTGCAGGTTAATCAGTAGTTAAACACAACTTCTTGAAGGAGGATAGTTCTTCTTTAGAAACAGTGCTTGACTTTTAATAGCCTAAAATCTTTTACTCATGTTCTTTCTTATTTCATTACTGCTGTGAGGAAGTCTCTTAGTTGTAAATGTTTCTTCGGTACAAGCTCATAAATCCAAGATAGGGACCATAACCCTCAGCTAAGCAGTTGCTGACCAAACCTCTGGATTGCTATTTAAAGGAGGAAGAGAACAGTTACAGGAAGTGCTCCATTTATGATGTTGATGATTTACATGATGAGTAACCCTGCCTTTTAATTTATCCATGGAAGGAGGATTTATCGAACTAGTAAACCAAATTTCACGTGGCTTGAAGAAAGAAGGAAACATTTTAAGCCAGAACTTCTTCAATTATTTAATGTCACTCAATTAACTTCACATCAGCCATTAACAGGAAAATGAACAGAGGCTGAGAAGTCTATCTTTGTCTATGCTTTTTGTACGCTTCATTTTGATAAGAACCATGGTGACTCAACTGGTAGAATGCCATTTTAGACAGGCCAGCGCCGTTTAAGTGCTAGAAAGCTCCTTTTTTTGGCACAGACAAGAGTTTTCAGATGCTGCCCTTGTGGCTGAATGAATCCTGTTATTGAATGACTTTATTTTGCTGTAGAAAGTAGCTGCATTTGCACTGAGAAGAAGTGCTTTGTAATGCCTTGCTGAACACAAAGTGGCAGTAATACCAAATGTGTAGAATTAAACCAGCGTTCCACTCATGTCAGACCGCTTTTTATTTCTGGGTGGAGATGAAACCAGAGATGTTTTGGATACAGAACATATGAGAAACTGACGTAGCTCTGTTGTGTATTGTTTTGCAAACGGTCATGAGTTGAGTGTACTTCCTTTTCGATAAACACAAAGACAAAGTAACTACTGGTTTTCAGTTCTTCTGTTGAACACAATGCATGGTGCTCAAAGACCTTTAAGGTTTACTGTAACCACAGCTACGTCGATTCTTGTCAGGTGCTTTAAATAAATTTACACAGAAGAACGTTGTGTCAGAAAGGACATCACTTCCCAGAGGTTTAACTGACTGTGGAGGGTATTTATAATAAACATTTACTCAGAGGTGCAGGATACCACTTT